AGTGCTGGCATCACACACTCACTCTGCAGCTCCGTGACTTCTGTTCTCCAGCTCTGCACCACCACAGACCAAGTGAAAATGCCAAGAAAGAAAGAGAGGCAGGGGGTTCAAAACAGCCAGGAGTGAACATACCTGGGGCACTAGCACAAAAGGGTGCCTCACCAAAAAGTGCACTTTCCTTCTCCTATCACAAGATGTATTGCAGCTGCTCTGGAACACGACTTAATGTACTAAGGATTTGCGGAAAGCAGAAAAAAAAAAAAAAAAAGAGAAAAGAAAAAGAGTAGGGAACTAACTTGTGAGACAATCAGACACTTCTAAAAGATTAAAATTTTCCATGATACAGTCTTAAAAAACTCCCACAAATTTCTACAGTCAGTTGCACATTGAAGGGCACATGTATTTAAAAAAAATAAATCAAACCACAACAAAAAAGCAGGTGGCAAAGCTGATTAGACTGGCATTGTTAGATAAAAGCCAAAATATATTCAGTGGCAAAAATCTTGAATACAGTATGTAATACCACCTCAATGAGAGCACCACACAGCTGGAAAAATGTTCAGAGTTAATCAAAAGGATGACCAAAGATATAGATAGCCTCCTTCTTAGAAGCTACTAAGACAACTAAGCTAGAGGGAAGCAAGCCAGAGTGAACATGAGACAAGTCTGAATATCACAAATCACATGGAATGGCGAAGTAGGCCTTGAAGCTTCTTGTGTCACACAAGAACCAGGATTTATTAAAAAAAAACTGGGCAGTGGTAAATTCTGAACAAACAAGCAAAGGCAGTTTGTACCAGCATACAATTAAGCTGCTAAACTCCTTACCCCAAAAAGCTAGAAGATAAGCTTTACCACCAGATAGGTGACAGAAGTTTAGATGATGATAGAAAGCAATTGGATAAATATGTGTAAGAGTAATCCAACAAGAGGAATTAAATATTATAGCACTGCCTCTGTGGTGCTCTAACTCCTCACTTGGATCTCCCCATTTAAGAGAAAAGTCTCTATGCCACACATTTAAGGAAGCAGCTAGGAGTGCTACTTGTCCTGCTCCTCCTTCTTCCTACATGCCTGCTGGTGGCCACTGTCAGCAGGTGAATCTGACCCAGTCCAGCTGTACTTATGACCTGTTCATAAACCCACCCATTGGTGTATAGCATTGAAGGTGACTTCTATGATCTGACCATGAAACATGGTGTAGACACAAGAGACCATGAGAAACAGCTTTGCAACAGTAGCTCACCACCAATGTTCTTTGAACTCACCTTAACATGGGCAATCCTTAAACAAAAAACTATTCTAATTCAGTTTACTTATTTAATTGTAGTGTATAAACTTTAAAAACAAAAGCAACTAAATAATTTCTAACACTTTTGTAAAAACTTACTGGTAATAGTTACTAACCTACTAGAAAATTAACATACTGAGCAACACTTTAAAATAATTATTACAAGTGGGTATTAAGATTCAGGAGGAACAGTCCTTTCTTAATCAGGTGCTCCACTAGTTCATAAGCTCGGGCAGAACATCCTCTGTAGCTACAGCAAGGGCCTCATTGCCTGATCTAGCCCAAACCACAGTGTGGTACTGCTTCCAGTAGAGGCACTGGACTGGTTCATGGATTGCACCTCTCTTGCACACTGCTTTGCCATTTAAACCATGAGAACATACACTGCACCACATCCCAATTACGTTGTACAATTTTTGAGAATGTTGATGTCTGAAAAATGTTACAGACATTGTTGTTAAATATTTGATTACCAGAACAAAACACACCTTCAAGTTTAACAACGTTAACTTCATTCTCCCCTGAAGTACACAGGCTAATTTTCTGCTTGCCAGGCAAGGCACTTTAACAGACTAGCTGGTAGACTGACTACCTACTATTTCTCTGTTTTTCCTCTTTGACACACTTACAAAACAAGTTATGCAAACAAACAAAGGGAAAAAAAAAGGGAAACTGTTACACAGGCCAACTCTTCCACTAACTGCAAAAACGCTTGACCAAAAAGCTATGCTAAGAGAACAGAACTGCAGTAAAAAAAAAACATTTTTATAACTCCTTATTAAACATATAATGTATTTTGTAATGAAATTATGTAAAGTTCTATGAAATTATTTGTTTTTCCCCTACTACAGTATCAGTGCTGCCACTTACAACCAACCTTTAAATGCTTGTTGCTTTTCCTAACACACAACTCTCCTCAGGGCACACAGTTCCATAAGAGTACAGGCTTTTGTGCTAAAAGCTGAAGAGATGCATCTCTATGCCTCTGGGCACCACAGGAAACTTTAAAAATCAACTCTACAGGCTATGAGTTGGTTCCAATGTCAATTCCAATTTATTTTTATTTTTTTTTTAAATAACAAAAAACTCCTCACTTGGTAACCTGACTCACATTACTTCCATGTCTGGAGTTCCCTCTCCTAACCTCCACTGCACAGAGATGTAAGTTGCACAGTAGGGTATTTAGCTACTTTGGAGTTTACATTTTGAGTAAGGTACTCCCTCAAAGAGACTATGTTTTAGGAATCAAAAGCTTAATACAACTATTTGCAGTTTCTTAAGATTATAATTAAGTCAGTAACTGCTTGTGCTGATATAATTTAATTCCAAAGGAACTCCACCAATTAAAGAATCATAATAAACATTCAGCTGTGCAGGTTTTACTCTGTTCCTGGGAGCAAAAGCAATTTCACTCAGCTATTAAGGACAGGATATTAGGAATGCCATGCTCAAAATGTACTTGCAAGGGAGTACAAGTCACGTCAGCCTTAATATAATTAGATGAGTTGGAATTTGGCCAGAAATTTGGGTTTTGACAAATACAAAAGCCAGACTATACAACGATAAAATGTGTACTTGTTTATAGACTTTTCTACTGCACTATTTGATGAAAGAAACAACAACAAAAAAAAAGCGTTTAGGCCAGTGCTTAACTTTAAACAGGAAGAGTTTCATTTAAGTCATTTAAATTAAGTCATGTCTAGTTACACACCCTCCTCCCCCTGCCCCCACACAGACTGATGCTCACAGAAATGTAAGAGCTACTTTGTGGCTGCAGAGCAGCGAGTTTTATTATGACATAATTCCATTAACACCTTAGAATGATATGGATGTGGAAGTTTTAATTCTGTCGTGAGTCACACTCTTCCTATTAGCTTCTACATAGCCTGGGGCAGCTTACTATGAATGTCCCAAAAACCATCAAATGCTGATTTCCAAGATAGTGCAGACAAGGGAAATGATGCAAACATGGAATAAATACAAGCCAGTTGAGAAAAACAAACCCAGTCAGCACCATTTTAAGTGTTCTTCAGAGTTACACAATTAAAGAATGAACCACACTGCAAAAAGTTAATGCACAGTTCTTGTTCCCAGTAATTGCTCGTGCACATGTCCCACAGTAAAGGCAAGATGTGTTACATTTTAAGAAGAGCAATGTCTACTGCCTTGCATTTTCTGTGGAATGTATCAGAAGAACATGCAGTCACTTCCTTGTGAGTCAAAGACCTTGGATGAGTATCAACTGCAACACAACCAGTAAGATGCCAAGTGGTAAGCAGAAGTTTTGCAAGCATAAAAATACAACTGTATTTCCAATACCAAGCAATCTTATCAATGTATTATAGGGTATTTATGCCTCAAGCAGAATCTGTATTATTTTGTTTCCCAAACCATCGTTATTTACTTCTCAGTTGAACCTCTTTCCACAAGAATTCAGCCTGTTAAGCTTAAGGTGCCTCGCTGGACCACACCACGTATCAATTAACAACAGGTTCACATGAAGCAGTGACAGAAATATAACTTCTTTGTTCTATTCATCACTTTGAAAGTGAACATTTTTTATCAACTTCAAGAACACAACAGCAGACTGTGTAAATTCATATTTGTCAATATATAATCTGAATGCTAAGAAAAAAAATGCAGTATACCATGGTTTCAGAAACATCAAGCCAAATATATTACTGCGCTGTACAGTTTGCAATGAAAGTAATATTGAAAACAGTAGATTGTTTCTTTGGTATCTGAATAAGGCTTTTACAAATCCTCATTGATCAAAATCTCATTTACCAAAGATTATTTCTTATTTAAAATATGGAAGTTATAGTCTACATTTTTATAAATATGAACAGATTTATAATTATGAAAAACAATAAAATACATTGCTTTCCTCATCCACACACTGAAAAGGTTATTCTGCATAAGTGTAAAGACACTGACAAATTCCAAAGTTACATAATGGCTGCACATTCTATGGAGCCATGGGACAGGCTGCCCAGAGAGATTGTGGAGTCTCCTTCTCGGGAGACTTTCAAGACCCATCTGGATGCATTTCTGTGTGACCTGCCCTAGGTGGTCCTGCTTTGGCAGGGAGGGTGAACTAGATGATCTCTAGAGGTCCCTCCCAACCCCTAACATTCTCTAATTCTGTGATATTTAATAAATTAATAAAGACAGCATTAGGAGCTTTCCAATAGGTAAGTCAATCATACCCCTCTACTGTAATCTCTACAAGGATTTTCTTTTAAAATAAAATAAAGGCTACAACACATGCTATGGTAGTGGATTCTGCACACAGGTAAATGTCTGACTATTTGACAAAAATATATAAATTACCAGTGGTCTTCCAAAAGGTGTCATAAATGTTACAAAACTTACAATGGTTTTACAGTGGTTTAATTTCAAATACTCACAATAAACTCAATATATTATTCTACACTATTCTACCAAAGCATTACATGAGTAAAAGTGCCTGTGTATTTATTTAGAGTTTAAGGCAGTTCAGAAAAATTTTCTACAGACACAGGCAATATTAGATTTTCCTACTAAGGAGTTACCTTCCATCAAAAAGCATGCTAAGATTAAAATATACCAAAATCAATAATCACAGTAAAATAGGAAAAACTATTTACATTTGACCAATTCTATTATAATAAACAAAAGGCTTAAATATAATGTTGACATATCTGTTGAATTGCTGATTTATGCCTACCTGGCAAAAGTACTGGTTCCAGCTTTTTAATCCTTGGTTCTGATGCCATATGGTCTTCAGCCTAAAGGAAAAAAAAACCAACAGAATTCACTTAAGAATCAGAACTTTACAGTCAGACACAAATATGATCTAATTGGGCAAAGGAGAAAGTCGTTCTTTTAACTTTAAATGGTGATCCTAAAGAGCTAGAATCCAATCATAGCAATGGTTTTCTGTAATGTATTAACATTTTTGTGTCCATTTAGCTTTGTACTAGAAGAATAATGCAATATTTAAAGTGCTAATGTTGAACCAATTGTGCAACCTAGGCTGTATGAACAAAAACCAATTTGCCTTGACGCTCCACAAAGTTAAGATCAAGTCCTACAACAAGATTTACATAGATTTGGACACTCAAATTTGCAAAAAACTCTCTAGCAACTTTTAGCTTGTGTGCCTTTCTGACATGGGAAAAATTTCCAACAGGCTAAGGCCCAGAACACATACATGCCCACTTGCATCTTAACTCCAAACCTTAAAAACTAAAATACTTCTATAAAAAGACTGGAACCTTCAGTGAAAGAGCCTTAACACCTATGGTCCTACACTGACAGTGACATAGTCATTTCCCAGGACTAGGAATATCCACAATTACTGTTGCATAGACATTTCACTTTTACCAAGAAACAGTAAAAATGAGTCAACACATCAAACGTATTGCTAGAAGAGGTCCTGCCTTGTCTAAAACAAATAAGTAAAACCCAACTTATGTCAAGTGCACACCCAGACCGTGCAAAATATCCCGATGATTCTACCAGATACACTTAATACACATTAGATACACTATACATGTGTGTATATATATATATATGTGCACTATGTATAGTATATCCCTATATTTTCTTGCTATATCTACTTGACTTTTTTATTTATGCCATCAGCCACGTTTTAAATGTGAAAGGATGGCTACAGTGAGAGTTTAATTATTTGCATAACAGACAAGCACCAGCTGTTTTCTCCTTCGGATATCGCCGATTCCCACAGCACAAAGAGGAAACCGTGCCCAAACACCTGAAGCGCTATTCGTAACTTTCCAAAATAACCTCGTACTGGCCAGTTTTTATCAGCACAAGACTCTGTTTTGGTATAAGTTCTGCTCCTCGAGCCAAGTTGGGCTCACGACCCGCATACGCTCACTTGGCGTCCGTGTACCACTTCAGGCCAGGAGGCCAGCGGGCTGCCCTGCCAACCCGCTTTTGTTTCCCGGGGCGCTGGGGGGCGGCGGGAGCCCCCGGGACGCGCAGGTGCGGGGTCACCGCCCCGCCAGGCCGGCAGCCCCGAGGCCAGCTGGGGAGAAGCC